AGACTCTGAACAACAGTGCACATGTGAGCGAGGGGTTCTGTTATGGGTTGGGTGATTGGAGCCCTGTTTGGACGAGTGTCTGAGCTGGACCAGAGCTCGCGTGTAGGGGCACAGATGGTGATCTAGGATCAGAGGAAGGACCCACACACAGCCCTGAGGGATCTGGAAGTGGAGGAGAGAGTGGGAGCTAGTTCTAGGATAGAAGGTCTCAAAGCAAGTTGACCTCTCAATTCAGATTGGCTTCCCAAAGGGATCCTAGCACAGGCAGGAGGGACAGGGTAGGAATGACCAAGGACAGGATGGTTGGCTGAGGTCCTGCTGGGCATGTTGGAGGTGGAGGCCAGATGGAGTGAGGAAACGATGGCCGCCAAACTAGGCCTGGCTGCCCCGCAGCTCAGGCAGGTGTGGGGGGCTAATTTGGGTCCCCAAAAAGATAGGTCCCTTTTCTTTTAGTGTGGAGTTTTAAGGACAATGGGGACCATGAGAGTGGAGGTCAGGGAGGATGAGGACACCAAGGTAGAAGTCTCAGGAGAGGATGCTGGGAATCCGGAGAATGATGGTCAGTGAGGGTGACAGGTAAAAACGGGCAGGAGGAGATCCAACAGAGGACACAAACCTGCTCTGGCTGTGGTGGGGGCTGGTGCACCTTTCAGAAGTTGGGGAGCCCCAGGAAATGAGGAGAAGGGGCAAGCCAGGTCAGCACAGCAGGCAGTTAGCATAGAGCCAGGAGAACAGTGCTGACCCAGATGGGGACAGCATGGTGGGCTGTTCACTCTGCAGGGGATGCCACAATCTGGGGCTCATAGCAAAGGGACCCTTGAGAACAAGGGTAATATAGTCAGCCCCTAAAGCAGAGAGCACGAGGAGATGGCACCCAAAACGTGGTTCTGCCGGGGACGGCTCTGCTCCTGATTCTGAATCTCCTATGTCTGAGCCAACACACTTGGACGCTGCGGCTGCTTCCAGGTTCCGCTGAATTCCACACGGTTCTCTTCGCAGCCAAGTGAGCTGATGAGCCTGGGAACTAAGTTTAAACAAAGGTTAATAAAGTTCCTTGCTTAGTAAAAAGAAAGAGAGGGAGGGAGGGAGGGAGGGAGGCAGTGGGAGAGGGGAGAGGGAGAGAGAGCCAGAACAACAGAGACAATAGAGAGATGAAGAGACAGAGATAAAGAAAGTAAAAGAGACAGGAGGGTGGGCAGAGATAAACAGAAATAGAGACAGCTTAAAAGAGAGAAAAAGACAGAAAACCAGAAAGGCGGATGGAATTAGAGGCAGAGAGAGTAAGACAGACACACACACACACACACAGAGAAAGAGATAGAAGCAGAGATAAAGAAAGACAGAGACTTCTGCAGTTAGAACAGGAATCAGGTGGGTACCCTTGACCCTACTTGCTGGCAAGCTTGGCCAGGGCTTTCATTCCTTCATGCCTCAGTTTCCCTATCTGTAACATAGGGTAGAATTGTGTCTCTCTCATCTTGGGCCTTCTGGGCCCATTAGCCATAGGAACTGGTATTCTTGTCAGGCCAGGGGGGCCCCTTGTGAGCCAGCTGTGGCTCCACTCGTCCCCTGTCCTCCCCACACCCCTTTCTGCACGTCCCTGCCGCACGCCTGTATGCTGAGAGCACCACCACCAGCAAGGGGAACAAAACGTGCTCTGCGCGGACGCTCTGCTCCCTGAGCCCCAAAACTTGGCAGCGGCAGCGGTGGGCCTGATTAAAGGCATTCCGGCGCATGGCGTGTTTGTGTGTTTGTGCTGTGTTTACATGCTCCAGGCCAGTGCCGGGCAGCTGTGCAGCATCTCAGACGACTCAGCTGGAGCCCGTGTGGCGGGGACACCCATAGCACCCCCATTCATTCACTCCCTCCCTGTTGAGGGGCTCCAGTGTGCTGGTCATGGCCAGAGATCAGCTGGGGCCCCCATCTTAGAGCTCACAAGCACCCTGGGGCCCACAGTGAGCAGGATAGAGATAGCAACACAATCGCCAAACAACAGGATGGCAAAAAAATCAGCGAAGATTAGAGGAGACACTGAAATATAAGCGCCAAACCTATAAAACTCTGAGAAGGAGACATTGGGGCAAAGCTTCATGACCTTGGATGTGGCCATCAAGTCCTACATGTAACACCAAAAGCACAGCAGTCAGAAAAACAGAAACTGGACCTGATCCGAGTTAAAATCTCTGCATCAAAGGACATCATCAAGAAAGTGAAGTGACAGCTCGGCTCCCAGGCTGGGAAATGATCCATCAGACCCATATACTTGATAAGGATCAGTGATCTAGGATATACAGAGAACTCCTCCAGCTCAACAATAACAACAGCAAAACCAACCATCCCATTAAGAAACGAACAAAGTATTTCACCAAAGAGGATGCTCAGATAGCCAGCAGGAGCACAAGAAGATGCTCAGCCTCACGCGCCACCAGGGAAATGCAAATCAAAACCACACTGAGATACCACTTCACCCCTCCACCCCCCAGGATGGCTACTATCAGAAAAATGGGAAACATCAAGAGTTGGCAAGGATGTGCAGAAATTGGAAGCCTCTTCCACTGCTGGTGGGAATGTAGAATGGCGCGGCCGCGGTGGGAAGGAAATCTGGCAGCTCCTCAAAAAGTTAAACAGAATTACCATGTGACCCAGCAATTCAACTCCTAGGTATATACCCAAGAGAAATGAAAACACATGTCCGCACAAAAAAATGTGTACACAAAGGTTCGGAGCAGCGTTTCTCACAATAACCGAAAGGTGGAAACCGCCCAAATGTCCATCAACAGATGAATGGATAAACACAGTGTGGTGTGTTCCTGCAATGGAATATGAACCAGTCGCCATCATTTCAGGCCTGACTCAGGGCGACCCCGTGTGTGTCAGAGTGGAACTGTGCTCCATGGGGCTTTCAGGAATTTCTGGGAGTAGATGAAGAGCCTGTCTTTTCAAGGCATCGCTTGGGTGGATTTGAACTGCTGGCCTTTTGGATGGCAGTTGAGCCTGTTACTTATGTGCCCCATCCAGGGACCCCTACTCAGCTGTAAAAAGGAATGAAGTTCTGATTCCTCCTGTGATATGGATGAAGTATGAAAATACCATGAAAGAGGCCAGACCCTAGAGACTGCGTGGTACATGGTCCCTATTCTATGAAATGTTGGAAATTGGTGAATATATAGGGACAGACAGTAGGTTAGTGGCTGCCAGGGCTACAGGTGTGCAGGAATCCTCTCATGGAGTGTGGCTGGTGCCTGCCCTTCTCAGCAGTGGTGGGTGATAGCCACAGGGGGGTATTGCTCACTAGGAGCACCCCCATGAACCCAGTATCCAGGGTTCTTGCTGGGGTCAGCCATATGGCCATGGCTGCTCATCCACCTGGCCAACTTCTCTCTCTAGCCCCTCCAGACCAGAGGTTAAACTTACACCACATGCCCCAGGACCCCCACCATGAATCCCAGTGTTGGCACAAACCATCTGAGGTAGCCACGGCCGCACCATTAATCCTATTGTTGGGGTCCCCTGAAGTTCCAGAGTAAACATACTTTTCAAGCAGCACCTTCCAGGGACTCAGGTCACCTCTACAGAGCAGGTCAAGAGCAGAGCTCCCTTTGGGCAGGGACAACCTTTTCCTTCCCAGATCCGCGTGGTTGTGGTTGGTGCTGTTGAACTGGTTCTGAATCTTGGCAATCCTGTGTGACAGTAGAACTGCCCTCTAAGGTTTTCTTGGGGGGGCCTTATGGGAACAGACTGGCAGGCCTTTTCTCTTACAGAACCACTAGGTGGGTTCAAACTATAACCTCTAGGTTAATAACCACGTATTTGAACAACGATCTCACCAATGCTCCTAGGAGCTTGACATGAGCTGTTAAGTTGGAACCGACTCATATCAGACCCTCCGGTGGGTTTTCAGAAGCTGTAAATCACACAAAAGGAGATTGTCCATCCTTATCCACAGAGCAGCTGGTGGATTTGAACTTTGCACCTTTGGGATTTTAGTGCAAATTCTAACCACTAGGCCACCAGAGCTCCCTAGAACTGCACATGTTGTTGTTATTGTGTACCTTTGAGTTGGAACCGACCCATAGCTTGATCCTCCGGTGGGTTTTCAGAGGCAGTTAATACACAGGAGGAGATTGCCCATCCTTCTTCTGTGGAGCAGCTGGTAGACTCGAACCGTGTGCCTTCAGGATTGCAATGCAGCTTCTTGCCGCTAGGCCACCAGAGCTTCAGAGCTCCACAGAGGCCCCTCCAAAAGGAAAAAACAGTGCTGTGCTCCAGTAACTGAGAGTCCTCCAGCCAGATGGCCAGGGGTGGGGATCATCCTTGGTGGGACAGGGACAGCTGAAATGGTCTTCCATGAAGGTGGAAGGGTGAAGTAGCCTCCTGTTTCAGACTTTAGTCAAGCCTACCTGCACGCCCAGAGCCCTCTGCCTCAGACATTTGCATGTACAGGAGGTGACAGTGAGACCTTCTTGCCCATATAGGTCTGGGAGCTGGGAGCGGGCATCTGGGTGGTAATGAGGGTTAGCACAGGGCTGGCATGTTCTGTGTACACTCGCTGAGTGTTTGCTCTGCTCTAGAAAGAGCAAGGCCAGATTGAGATACAAACGGGGATCATGGGGGGCCACCCTGGACCCAGGTCAGTCCAGGGGCACTGGCCTTACAGGATGGGTGAGACCCAGAGGATGGTCACAGTAGGTGTCTTAATGGGCAAGACTCCCCCGACCTCCCCCAGGCCACTCTGTGAGAAATCTCACTGAGCCAGAGGGAACAGAACCAAGTTCTCTCTGGCTTAGCCGGCGCAGCCTCAGGAAACAGCTGTTTACCTGTGTGAGGTGCTTGCCCGGGCGGGCAGCCAGTTCCAGTTTCACTTTCCCTTGTCCCCAAGGCCCCCCAGGCAGCAGAGAATGGCCTTGGGGGGGGCTGGCCCTGTGGCCAGCTCGGGATTGCCAGAAGCTGCTTGTGAGCAAGGCAGACGGCCTTGTTGACGTACACACTGTCGCACCTAGCAACTTGCTCGGCTGCTGGGCACACAGCCACCACAGCTGGCCAGTCCCCTGTCACCCATGTGCCCAACTCGAGAGCAGTGTGGATCCTGGTGGTGCCCCTGCCCTGCTCTGTCCTTCTCTCAGGACCAGGAAGCCCACCAGGGTGCTCTGAACCCGTGTTCTCAATCATGTCCCAGTGGGTATCTTCTGTAGGTCTGGATGACCCAGCAGTCAAGGTGAATGCCTAGGAAGGCTGGCGCTGTGCAAAGGAGACTGAAGAGCCCAGTGGGCCCAGGTCTGAGAGGTGGACTTCGAGTTCCCATTGGCAGTTACATGCCCTGAGTACTGAACGTATTGTGCTTCTCCTGCCCCTCATATGATTGGGCGTCTGATCTCTGGTGGCCATGAGCCCTGCTCCCCATCCAGGTCCTGTTCGCTCTCACGCTCACTTGCAAATGCTGAGTCAGCTGGGAGGGAAGCCATCCACCCCCCAGGCTTGGGCCTGGGCCCTCTGGGTTTCTGGGGATTCCTTTCTCATGTAGAGACAAACTGGTCCTGGAGTTCTTTGGCCCCAGATTGCCGTGCGGAGCGAATACAGGGAAGGGTCCCCCAGGCACCCCACTACCGGCTTCTTTCTCACAGCTCCAGCTCCAGAAGTCACAGTACCTGCAGCTGGGCCCAAGCCGTGGCCAGTACTATGGCGGCTCCCTGCCCAACGTCAACCAAATCGGCAGTGGCAGCATGGACCTGCCCTTCCAGGTGAGCCCCCCAGGTGCGCCCCCTACCCCAGCACCAACTGATGGATGTGCCGACAGCCGGGGTCACCTGATGATTGCTGGGCCAACCTCCTCCCGCGCCCAGAGGAAGCAGCCCCCCCAACACTCCCTCTGTCAGCAAGCCCTTGACTTGTACGCCAAGTTCACAGCCGCTCCACCTGCCGGGCGGTGGGAGGGGGCCCACTGGGTTTGGCTCAGTCGAGCCTGGCTAATCTGCAAGCTTGAAGACCCAAGGGGGGAGCCCCAGCTCCTGACCCCACTTCTCTGCCACGTTTCCTGGCTGGGGCCCACACGATGTAGCCTCAAGCACGGCCTCCGAGCACGCAGTCTCCCAGCTTTCACCATGAAGGCCAGGCGAGGGGGCCTGTGTGCAGCTTGGGGTGGGGATGAAATGAAGCAGGTCCCAGGGTTAGGGCTACTGTTAGCCGGCATCTGATCTGTGCAGGGTAGGAGTGCCCGCTGCTGGCCACCCACCTTCATTCTCCACTGCAAGCTGATGGGTAGTAGTGGCAGCCTCATAGGAGCTCTGTCCCCCTGAAGGATGTCCTAATTCCCCCAGGCACCATTGACCACTCAGCTCCTGCCACCTGCCTCAGTTTCCTCATACAGCCAACATGGGGCCTCTGTGCAGCTGAGGAGAGGGCTTGGAGCCAGTACTCTCAACAGAGACCCTTCTTGTCCTCTGGTTTCTTCCTCCCGCCTAGTTTCCCCAAATCCCTAGCTCCCTCTCGAGGAGGTTTGCTTTCTGCTGGTTTCTGATGCAGCCCTGTGCAGAAGCATGTCAGGAGCCCAGGTGCAGGAAGGCCATGGGGCAGGGTCTTTGATGGGCTCAGTTCTTAGCCCTTGCAGTCTGGTGGATTTTGGGGAGAGGCTCTGGTAAGGGCTTCTGTGTCTTTGCTAAATGAGACTCATGCCCAGGCATGGCCATGTGCTCCCCCACAGCCTCACTGGAGCTCCCCACCCGCTGAGCCACCCCCTCTCCTAGAAGATTCATATGGTGGATGGATGGAACCCCATTTTCAAACTTCTTGGAATCAGCACGCACACACACACACACACACACACACACACACACACCCATGCTCACTCACACGGAAAAGGCCATCTCCATCTGAGCCTATGAGCCCAGCTGTATAGACTCTTCCCAGAAGCATACATGTCTGTTTGTCTATCCTGCCACCTGGCCCAGTGACAGAACCTGATCAGCTGGGGTCTTGCTTTACCCATACTCAGTTCCAGATGTCCCTGGGGGGATACTGTTTCCTAGGGAGCTACTGGGCCTTGTGTCCTCTCCCTCAGTGCTTTGACAGAGTGTCCTTAGCTGCAGAGGAAATGCCCTGTGGTGGGGAAGGTGGCAGCATGGAACTCAGAGGAAGGAACCACGAGCCCACCGCTGCTTTCTGTAAGGGGAACTGTCACAGTAGCTCGTTGGCTGCTCAGAGCAGGCAGAGAGGCCTGGGGCCAGATGGTTGGCAGGAGAAGCAGCCAGCTAGGGCTGGCTAGAGCTGCCTCACACTTCACCTGGACAGATGGCCATGGCTCCCCTGGAGCCAGAGGGCAGAGGGATGCGTGGGGACAGAGCTCCGGGGTGGCAGGACACCCCTCGGTGCATCCAGTGACACTGTAGAGGTGGACTCTGGTTGGTGCTGGTGCTTTGCTGGATGAGCAGGATGGGGGGGGGGCGGGAATCTGAAGCAGGGGGCGGTGTGTCTCCATGAGGACTGGCCCTGAGCTTGGCTTGGAGCCTCCTGGGATTGCACACGGCCAGCTGGACTCTGGAGGCGTCCTGGGGTTCCGAGGCCCCTCTTGGCAATCCCTCCAGGGATGACGTGGGAAGAGGAAGCTGCCGGACACGGAGGGGGCTGCCTGCACCTGGCATGGGGGAGGGGGCCTGCTGCATCCTGTGCCAGCCTTGCCCCCGAGTGTGTTGCTTGCCCCTAATGTGCGCCCACCTCCATTCTTACTTTGCCCAGTTACTCACTCCCACTTCAGAAGCACTAAGGGTAGGGGGACCCCAGGGGTGGGGAGAGCTGACTGGACTATGTCTCAGGAATTCTGGGTCCTGGGAGATACTGGATATGGCGACCCCGGGCACGTGCCTGGGAGAGTCTCCGCTTCTCCTGCAGCTGGTAACTGGTGTCTGGTTTCTCTTTCCTCTCCTCTTCTCCCTTGCCCTCAGACCCCCTTCCAGTCCTCAGGCCTGGACACCAGCCGGACCACCCGGCACCACGGGCTGGTAGACAGAGTGTGCCGGGAGCGCGGCCGGCTCGGCTCCCCACACCGCCGGCCCCTATCAGTGGACAAGCATGGGCGGCAGATATCCTTTCTAGTGCGAGTGGACCATGTTCTGAGGGTGACCACCGGCCTAGGGGGAGCACAAAGAGACAGGGATACCTTGCTCACCAAGGTTTCCAGGCACCCCAGGGCAACCAGGAGGGCTTCTTAAGAGGAGTTGTCACTATGATCTGAGGAGTCTTTGACCAGACTTGGGAGTTGAGAGGGGAGCCTGAGGAACAGAGAAGCTAAATTGGGACAAATGAGGCCACACAGAGCACAGACCCCTTGCTGAACAGAGCCCCCTGCCCAGAAGGCACAATCCTCAGAAGGGTCTCCTCTTGGGCAGCTCATAAGCAAGATCTCATCTCACCTCAGTCACTGAGTCCTTCCTCTCCCACCCAATACTAGAGTTAAAGCACCTTTAGGGAGCTCCTTGAACCCTTGGCCCCCAAGAACAGAGCAATAGCTTTTCTCAAGGTTGACCATTTGGGGCCCAGATGCTGGGATCTGCCCATCAGCCTGTCATAGAGTTCAGAGCCAGAGGTCAGCTGAACTCGGGCCCACTGCGAAGGCAGGAGCAGCGCTTAGTGCTAGGCCCGCCAGCATCCCTGGGGCCTCCCTGGGGCCTCCCTGGGGCCTCCCCGGGGCCAGGCAAAAGTGGCCTTCGTAAGCATCTCTGATGCTTAGTCTTTGCGCATGTGTTCCCAGTGGGCAGCATCAAAGCTGGGAGCCAAGCCACAGATATCCCTTAACTCTGCCCACGTGGACAGCTGCCCCTACGGCACTGTGTACCTCTCGCCGCCAGCAGACAGCAGCTGGAGAAGGTGAGTACCCAGGCAGCAAAAACTATTCGAGACAACTACTACTTGCAGGCTGAAAAAATGGACATGGAAACAACCGGAAGCTTCTAGAGATCCAGCCCTCCATGAACAGAGCTCACGGCTTTGGTGCTTTCCCGTTTCTCCCCACTTGTGTGACTTTTCTCGATTTTTCTCCTTCAGTACACCTTGTTGTTATCTGCCTTGGAGTTGATTCTGTGCTGTGGCAACCTCCTGTGGCCAAGTAGAACAGCTCCATAGGCTTTCGGAAGCAGATCAGCAGGGCTGATTTCCAAGATGCCTCTGAGTAGATTCGAACTACCCACCTTATTGCTAGTAGTTGAATACTTAACCATTTATGCTACCCAGAGACTGCATGTCTTTAGTTATCAAAAAATGTAATTGTTGGAATCTACTTTTCTTATAGAGCATTAATAATGGCAATAGACCCAAAAGAGGAGAAAAAAGATCACCATCTATAAAGGTCTAAGATAACACTGAGATAATAAAAGCAAACAGCTACTACATAGAATCCCGGCGTGGTGAAATGTTTAAGCAGGCATCTTCTAATGGAAAGATTGGAAGTTTGAGTCTATTACAGATGTGCCTCAGAAGAAAGGCCTGGAGATCTGCTTTTAGAACAGTCAGTGCTTTAAAAACAGTTCCATTATGACAAGTGGAGAGTAGCCATGTTTTGGAGTCAACGGGACTGTCTTTTTCTTACCTACCAAGCATTTACGTGCCAGGCCTGGTTCTGACCATCAGATGTGTTGATTGAGAAAACCTGCAAGAGCCTTAATGCATGCAGTAGCTGCTGCTTATATCGCTGGCTGAACCTAGGTAGGTCAGGACATTTGCTCAAGGACACAGAGCTGCTTGATGGTGACCCAGGTCCCTCACTGCAGGCTCAGCCTGCCATCAGGAACCAAAGCCCTATCCTTAGAATTTGTTTATCCCTTTGGACCACGGACCACATCCCCTGCACCATGGTCATCAGTGGCTGTGATGTCCTCTCACCTTGGGTCCATGTGACTCTTAACTATCCCCAAGTTGCCAGCTGTTCAGCCTGCCCGGTCCTTTGCTCATGCGTTCACTTCCCCAAGGGACACCTTCATATTACTAGGCAGCTAAAAGGCTCTTCAGGGACCCACTCTCAAGGCACCTTCAGTCAGGGGCACTTCTGTCCCAGTGTTCATTGGGAGACTCTTCCACCTGTGGGCTCACAAGGGACTACCTTCTTCTGGTGCCTCTCCCCACCACATGTCACACCTGGTGGTTTTAGCATCCTGGAGCGTAGAGTTGTTGCAGGGACTCCAGTGATGAGTGGAGGGTGACTTGGATGCCCAAGACTAGATTTCAGAAGACTCACCTGACCCTTTTTCTTTGGGGAAAGGGATGCCCCAGCAGAACATAACCATCCTGGGCCTAAACTGGAGACTCTGTGGAGGGGACTGAAGGACATTATTGGCTTTGTAGAGGGAACCATGGTCATCTCTTTAACACTGTAGAGAACTGTCCCTTTAGGGGGTTCTCTTGGGTACAGCAGTAGGAAGCTGTGGTGCCCTAATGGTAAGAAGCTGCACTGCAATCCCAAAGGCATGTGGTTCGAACCTACTAGCTTCTCCAAGGGAGAAAAGGGGCACCCTCCTCTCCTGTGATTTACTGCCTCTGAAAACCCACTGAAGGGTTAGATAGGAGTCAGTTCAAACTCAGCAGCACACAACAACTTGGGGCAGTAATACAACAGTAACCCACAGTTAATGCTTCTACACTCCTGGCATGCATGATCTCGTTTGTTAGGGGTAGGACTCACTGTCTCTTTCTCTTCCACCCCCAGGACCAATTCCGATTCTGCCCTGCACCAGAGCACAATGGCACCTACCCCACCGGACTCTTTCACGGGTGGGTCCCAGGACACGCACCAGAAAAGAGGTATGCAGCGTTTGTTAGTTCACTTCTCAAGGGAGGCAGACCCATGTGTGGTCCCTACCATGGGAGCTCGCTCTCTTCATGGCTGGGTGGGTCCACAAGCAAAGATGGCGTGTCAGGGGAGCAAGGAGACAGTTGTTTGCAGGGGATGGAGTACTTACAGAGACATGGTGCTACTTGAGTTTTGGGTCTTGAAGGGTGCATATGAGTTTTCTAGGTAGAGAAACGAGTCCTACAAGCACGTGGAGGTTTTTGTCCTTGAATTCTTAGCCTGCGCACATGATCTCTTGTGCACATTTAGATCCCTTTGGATGAAGAGGGCACCAGGCCCAATCAGTAGGGTCATCGATTGACTTACAACCAAGCGATGTCAGGGCTCGCCAGATGGCTTCAGGTGCCTCTTGATCCAGGGGTTGGCTCTTAAATGTTGAGATCGATGCATCCTTCTTGGCCCTCCAGCTTCTGAGATGGTTTCATCCTTGGATTCCTCCCTATTTACAGTCCTTGGGCTGATCTTTCCGGGGTTACAACAGGCAACAGACCAGCTGTCCCTTCCATGGCTGATGCACATTTTTCTCCATGCAGCTGAAGTGTGTGCCCATGGCATAGGCCCTTAGCCCACCTGCTCCCAGAGCAGGATGTGGTACCTTTGAGGAGATGAGATGCCATCCTAAAAACTCAGGTGTCATCCCCTAGATAAGGAAGGTATAAGCTGTGCAGCCATCCCCAGCTGATGCCAAGATGCACACCTCAGAGGAGTCAATGTCATTCAGGCTCAGAGTAAAACATCCTTTCTAGTAGCCGTGTAAGTGTCTCTGGAGGTTTCACTGACGGTAGGATGTTGGTCAGAAATCTTCATCCCCTCAGTGTTTCCCATGCCTTCTGTCCCATGCCTTCTGCCCCATGCCCACTGGCCAGGAAGAAGCATTTCCCTGGGGAGGCCTCGGCATACCCAGGCTCTTCCTGCATTGATGTTATGGACAGTTCTGAATCTGAGGTACCTGTTTCAGGTCTCCCCAGGATCATTGTGCTTGGGAGGGTAGGTGACATGACTGAGGAACAGAGTGGATGTGATGAGCCTACAGTGGGACACCTTGGCTGTGTCCTTTTCTCTGGAGGTGGACAGACACAAGGTCCAGTGGCCTGGCTGCTCCACACTGGGTATTAGGAGGTCTTTGCCACCTGGCTGGGTTCACTGTGACTTGGTTACAAGTGAAGAAACTAACTTCCAGCCACATGGACAGAGTGGGACAAGATTTTCATCTCATTATAATTCAAAGGCTTGAGGAAAGGGTCCAACTAAGACCAAGACCCCCTGTCCTCCCTTCATTCCTGTCCCTTCTGCTCCCCTGGAGCTGGAGACAGTGTCCTGGCTGATCCACAGGGTCCCCACAACCACCGCTGTGTCAACCCAGCCTCGGCTCATGCTGCGGACTGCAGCTGATGTGTCCCAGTGAGCAGGGTGACAGATAGCCAGGCTGAGTCTGTCTTAGGGGCAAATAGATGCAGGCCTCAGACCCAAGAGTTCTCTTTCATGTCTGTTTTAGACACAGATGCTGTGACTTACTTAAATTCATTCTTATCTTTACATAACCCTTATTTGTAGCTTCAGAAAAGTTTACCAGACACTGTTAGGGCTGTGACTGTCACAGGTTGTGCGCTAGAGATGAGTCTCCTGGTGGCCCTGCTGCTCTGGGAAGAGATTTCTGATTCTTCTCCTCTCCCCTTTTCCGCTCCCACTTCAGTTTTACTATTAACGGTCCCGGGAATGGAAGAGGCCTCCTCAGAGGCAGACAAAAACCTTTCAAAGCAAACGTGGGACACTAAGAAGGTAAGGGGCCACAGAGCTCTCACCAGTGGGTTTTCTTCTTGAGCTTTTGAGACAAAGATCCCAGACTGGGCCCTTGAGGGGAGAGACTTCAAAGTCCCTGAAGTATGACCACCACTCAAATTTTAACCATGCCCACAAAGTATAGCACCATCAGCACCATCAGCCACTAACCAAAAGTTCGATAGTTCATCTCCATCCACAGGTGTCTCGGAAGAAAGGTCTGATGACCTACTTTTGAACGGTTGGATATTTTTCAGACTAGGTGTAGAGTTTAAGAGCTTAACGAAGCAAAGAGGGAGGAAGACCAGTTGCTGTCAAGACTCGCGGTGACCCCATGGATCAGAGCAGAGCTGTGCTCCACAGGATTTTCCATGACTTTTTTTTTTTTCAAAAGCAGGTAGCCAGGCCTTTCTTCCTGGGTGCTAACCTCTAACCTTTTGGTTAGCATCTGAGTGGATTCACCATTTGATCACCTAGGGACTCTGGGGAGCAGAAATGCCCTGACATAAAAAGACTGGAAGGAGGGCAGACCCAGTACCGTACTGTACATGTCTGCGATGATGTCCTGTGTAAACACAGTTTGATTTGTTGGAATGAGCAGGCGTGGGCGAGTTTGTAATCTGTTTAGAAACCCTTTTCTGTCTCTGTAGTATTTGTGGGATTCTTTTGAAAGGCTCTTTAGAGACTCTGTAACTGGGCTTTGTGGAAATCCCGTAATGAAGCGAGTGTTGACTTAGGGCTTTAGGAGGCCCCGGCTGAGCACAGACTTGTCCCTCGTTATCCTCCAGTGCTGGCCCTCTGGTCTCACGCCACCCCACAGGCTCCCCAATTGTGGCAGCTGGGCGAGGCCCCCCCACAAGGTGTTGATGGGTGGGCCCAGCCACTGGCAGTAGGTCCCCTTTTCTGGGATAATCCTTAAAGACCACATCAGCTGGCAGTGTCTGCTCAGGGCCTGGGGCAGCAGACGGAGCTGGGAAGCAGGACGTGGGGCACTGCCAGGACCCTCTAGAGCAGACAGGACTCTGTCCTGTCTTGTTGCAGCCGGAAGAGGGCTCTGTCTTTTGTCCTTGAACTGAAGTGACTATTCTTTCCCAGAGGTACACGTCCCCCGCCTCCTTCAGCCTTCCTAGGACCCCCAGCAGCCCTACGGAGCTTCTACTCCATTAACTCTTCTGAGGTCCCTCCAGCCTTCTCAATGCCGCATGTCTCCTCCCAGGGCCTCGTCAACCTTCTTTAACCCTTATGTGTCTCCAGTTGGCAGAAGAGCAACCAGTCGAGCAGCTGGGACCACAGGGTGGAGACAGGGGGACACCTTACTCCCCAGGCTGGGTCCCCACTCTCAGGGAGCTCGCTGGAATGTGTCTGCTGTGATGGTGTTGACGTGTTCTCCGCCTGAATGAGAACGCCGAAGCGTGGGGAGCATGCCTTCCACTTGGCGATAAATTCCAAGTCTTGTAGACCCCACTGTGGAAAGGGAGGGCGTGCCTGTGCTGAGGCACAAGCTGGAGTCAGCTCCTGTGGTCCTGAGGGGCCAGGGACTTCCTACTGCGTATGACTGTGCCCACTGAGCCCTGGGCCTCCCCTTGCAAACCCTGTGTGCCGACAGTGTCCCCAGCTCACTAAGCAAAACCGGTCATGGAGGGCAGTACTGCTTCTGCATGGTCTCCGTGACAGTTTTCCTGCTGGGACTTGCAGTGTCTGAGGTGGGCACTTCCAGAGTGCCAGAGCAGAGAAGGGCAGGCAGCGAGGGGTACACTCTGCTGTTACTGTAACATGGTGACAGCCTGCACGCACTCTGTAACAGACTCGAAGCTGTGGAACTTTTCTTCGAGGTGACTCTGGGTTGTTTTGAACCACCAGTCTTCCGGCTGATGTTAAGCATTTTAATTGTTTGTGCTACCAAGGGACATTTGGGACAGGCAGTGCCCGAACTGCTTAGCCTCATTGGTCCTTCAGTGACCCCCTGTATAACATGGGGCCCAACTCTTCCCCCCAACCCCGAGGCTGCCGGGTCTCTGAGGGTCCTGAGCAGACCTACTCATGCAGAGCTGCAGTGGGGAGGGGCCCGTGTGACAAGATCTCCCTGTCACATCTGGTGGGCCCCTCAGCCCTGGGGGCTGTTGCTCCATTCTCCATCTGTGTGACTCTGACGTCCAGGCAGCTTGCTGCCGCCTGCCGTCTCTGGGCTCTGGGACACGGCCATGCTGTGAGGCAGCACAGTGCATGTGCGGGGACCAGTCGACCCCAGCCCTCTGACCAAGTGTCCTCTCAGCCTGTGCTGTCTTCTCTTTCAGACGGGGTCTAGGCCCAAATCCTGCGAGGTTCCAGGAATCAAGTGAGTCTCCTCCATCCCTATCCTCCCTGGGGCTGCCCAGGGATCCAGAACTTTTCACTCACGTTCAAGGCGGCATGTCCCAGCAGGAAAGATGCTGAATTGCTGGTAGCTACCCATAGAACCCTTCACTGCTCAGGATAGCAGCCCCCTGTCCAGGCCCCCGGCACACCCCACACCTAGAGGACGCCGGCCATGCCCCTTTTTACCATCAGACTCACCTGGGGCTTTCTGAGGCCCTGGTTGAGAGGCTGCCTCCTGCCCTCTGTGGGCCCTGGGAGAGAATGATTGCTGCCCCCCTCATTCCACCCCCCAAGTGCTCACTGCCTTGTCTCTGCCTTTGCCTCCAGCATCTACCCATCCGCTGACCAGGAAACCACCACCACTTTGATCCCTGCCACCCACAACACGGGAGGCTCACTGCCTGACCTGACCAACATCCACTTCCCTTCGCCACTGCCCACTCCACTGGACCCTGAGGAGCCCCCTTTCCCTGCCCTGAGCAGCTCCAGCAGCACCGGCAACCTTGCGGCCAACCTGACACACCTGGGCCTCGGTGGCACCCCCCAGGGTAAGGCCGGGTGTGGGGCAAAATGTGGGGTCCCCAGGTGAGGACACACACATGGCAGGAACCATGTCTTGGGACCGCAGGGGCCCAAGGGGAGTGAGCCTCATCAGGGGACTAAACACAGCCAGGCTGACTCAGGAAAGTGTCCCAAAGAGAGAGGATTCTAGGAGCTTTTAGGGGTGATCTTAGGGGTTGGATGGATTCTGGGACTTCTTGGGGCATAGACTTCACAGACAACTTGTGTAACCCCAGAATGTTCTAGAAGGAGAATTCTCAAGAGTTTTCTCTCACCCAGCATCCTCTTTGCCTTCTGGGTTCTCTTTTCCCAACTTGGACACTCAACCTTTCATGCTGCACGGCCCCCCAGACCTCAGCCAAGGCTCTGCCCAGAAGACAGATAGCTCACAGTCCCCTCTCTTCAGGACCCTCCCATAGTCCCTTGGCTCCCTCCAAGGGGATACCAGAGCCAGGCCATAGTCCACCCTCCATTCTGAACTGCCTTCAGACCTTCCTCACATTAGGAATCACGCCTGCTCTCTCCTGCCCTGCCCAGGTACCCCCCTAAGCCCTAGCCTGTGTCCCCTGACCTCTGCCCTGGAGGCTGTTGCCCCCTTAGCTTCCCTTCTCATCTCCCCCTGCACTGAGATGGCCCCTCACAGACTCCTCACTGGGGCCCCCGCGCAGCATTTATTAAGTGTGTGACGTTGTGTCCCAGGAGGTACAGGCGTCTGGATTCTAGGGAGAGGTAAAGATGGGCCAGACAGGGCTGCAGGGAGAGAGTGGGGTCAGGGGGCTGAGGGGTGGGTGGAGGGTGATGGGTCAGATGGGGCTGCAGGGAGAAACCTGGGGACAAGGGGCTCAAGGCCTAGGGACGCAGGCGTTGGAGAAGGCACTCGAGCCCTGTCTGAGCTCAGAGCAGGCAGACACCTCCTCACCAGGATGCACTCATCATCAGGGATCAGCACCACTGTCCATCTGTCCGCTTGTAATACCACCTCTGTGCAGAACCCTCAGCAGCTTTTATGTTAAGATATTAGAAACTGTGGCACCAGCCGGGTCACCTATGGGTTATGATGGAGCGTCTAGGCTGTGATAGACTAGGGGGGAAGACCTGCTCTTCTTCAGAACTCAACCAGTGAGACCACGGCTCTCAGCAGAGTGCAGTGTGGTGCTGGAAGGAGGACTGACTAGGGAGGAAGGTGCTCAAAAGACGGGCCAATACCATGCACTCAGGCTAACAGCGACAGTGGCCCAGCCTGAGGCAGTGTTTTGTCCTGTTGTTTGTGGGACCACTGGGAATCAGAGGCAGCTTGACGGTAGCCCTCATGAGGGACCCTGGTGCTCAAATTTTAATCCAGCCAATTCCAGTTGACTGGTCTAGTTCTTGGTTAGCGTGAGGGACCCAGTCTTTCAGGGTATGGGTGCTGGTGCGGTCCGGGCAGTGAGGGCTGGGGGTGAGGAGGGTTCAGAGGGCAGCACTGGGGCTTTGTTCTTGTTCTCACTGAGTTCAAGCAGTCAGGGGTACCTGTCTACACCATGCTCCACCCTCAGAGGAGGCCCAGAAAGCAAAACAGGCAACTTCGGGGGGTCAGAGAGGTGCAGAGGGTAGGCAGTGCCTTCCACACACTGGCAGAGCCTGAATCGGGAAGGGGCACTGCCCGTATGTCAGCCTCACTGACTCCTGGTGACCTCTCGCCCACACCACTCCCCTTCAGGGCCCTCAGCAGCCCTCAGTGTCCGGCCACACCAAATAAACAAGCTCAGTGAACAGCATAGGTGAGAGCAGGGGCCAGAGTGTGCTACACATGTGACTGTTTGTGGACCTGTGGCTCTGGAAGCTGCTGGGCAGAGGCAGCGCTTTCTGGGCACACTGACAGTCAACCCCCATGGGGCCACTCCCCAGCCTCCCTGTTAGGACGTGGCCTTGTCGGGAAGAAATCTTCAGCCCCAGAGGCAGTAACCCTGCTGAAGCTGCTTCCTGGCTGCCGTAGTGGGAGTGAGTAGCAGGTTAGCAAGAACACTGTTCCCCCACCCCCATGAAGCACCCGTGGCACGGCAGCCCTGCCCTGGCAGCTGTTCTGCCTGTCTAGGCAGCTCTCCAGCTGGCTCCAGTCCCTTTTCCCAGAGGTGCACCCGGCTGCCAACAGGAATTCGAAGCGAGACGCCCGCCCTCCTGGCCCCACTGGCCTCCGGTGCATGTGAGGCCAGGAGCAAAGAGGAAACTTCCTGCATTCAAGGCAGATGTTCCCGACCAGCAGTATGAGGGCTGGATCGGTCCACGGATTTGGAAGTCGGCTTGCGTGTCTGTGTGTATGCATGTCCGTGTGCGTACTTGTGAGTATGTGAAGAGATAATTTCTATGTACAAGGGCATGTGTCTGCACGTACATGAATGTATGTCTTTGAGTGCATGTGTGAGAGCTTGTTTGTGTGTTTAGGTATGTATGTGCGAGAGCATGAGTGTGTCTTGTGTGCACGTACATGTTTGTGTTGAGGTGTGTGTATGAGCGCATAAAACAATGTCTGAGTTGTGATTGTGTTTGTGTAAGAGAGAGAGATAGCATCTGAGCTGTCAGTCAGGAGCAGGCATACAGATTAGAGAGATCTCTGGACCCTCTTGGAGAATTGGCAGGCTTTGCAGCCATGGGCCTCAGTCCTGTGCCTGACACACCTGGAAAATTCCATTTAGCTGCAAGTTCCACCCCTCCCTGTTGCCTTTGTCCAATCCCTCATATGTCTTGGCATTCAGGCTTGTCCCACCTTACCCCTGGCGCTCCTAGCTGAAGTCCCAGCACCCACATCTGACCTGGACATTGTTGTTACTTGATTCCTGGACCCACAAGAGTCTCTGTGGGAAGCCAGAAAAGACCCAGGAGTGGGCCGGTGGCTCACAGTCTCACATCATCCTGGTCCGATGCTCTGAGGGGTTTCCAGGCTTCCCAGCCCAGGCTATTTCAGATGCCCTCAGCATTGCTGTTTCTGTGCTCGGTGCTTCTGTCCTGCATCTTTGCAGAAACCTGCTGTCCGGGCTCAAAAGCAGCAGCACAGACAGTGCCAGGTTCTCCTGCCCTGCTGCACTGCTCGGAGCCACCGGGGTATCTGAGCGGAAGTGCTGGCATGCCTGAGCTCACCTGTTCTGTGACTCAGCCTGACCCAGGAGCAGCTGCCCTGGGCTGATGTGAGGAGACTGAAGGCAGAGAGAGGAGGAGAAAGGGAAGATCAGACAGAATGAGAGGGAAAGAGACAAGTAGAGGCATAAACAGAGAAGGAGAGAGATTGAAGGAAGGAGATGGAGAAGGGTGAAAAGCAGACATGAAGAGATAAGAAAATGCCACCCCCTCTGCTCGGGTCTCTCTAGCAGAATCCCCAGGTTGTGGGAACAAACCTTAGCTCCCCTCCATACAATCTCCATGTCCCTTATGGACCAGGGTTGAATCTCCCCTCCAGAACGCCAGATGACTCGGGCAGCTTCACAGGCCTTAGTCGTGGGTCACACTTCTTCAGAACTTGCTCATGGCCTCACTAAGACTTCACATAACCCCAGGATAATGATTGTCATCACTGCCACCTCCTGGACGAAGAGACCACATGGGGACAGAGGAAGTCCCTGAGGTTCCCACAGACTCCAGCACCCTGGGACCACCTGCAGGTTCCTGCACTGCCATATACAGGGGTCCTAGCTGCCTGGAGCGTGAGGAGTGGGGCGGACTAGGGAAGGGAGGGGCAGGCCCCAGCAGGAGTGAATGTACCAGGCACTAGAGCAGCAAGGGTAGGAGGAGAGAGCTGGTTTCTAGCTTGATAGGCAAGGGTGGTGGCACCCCAACAACAGGATACACAAGGGGGGTGGGGGAATAGGTATGAGCACAGATAAGAGCTGATGGGTGGACAAGGTCACTGAGAAAGGATGAGAATGGTTAAGAGGTCCCAGTGTTGAGCAAGGCTAACCCCCAGCTTACCACACGGGTTTAAGAAGGGCCTTCTTATCTCCCCAAACCAGGTGATGCCTGGAGTGGCTGGATCCAGAACTACTTATTGTCTTTCCTATCCCATGACTCCTATTCTCCAGCAGGCTCTTTCTGTGGTGCCAGGGATGCCTCCTCCCCAAACCACCTACCTCTACCACCCCCAACTCACATGCCCCTACCACCCCCAATCCACCTGCTCCTACCACCCCCCTAATAAGTCCCAACTCTCTCATTGCATTAGCCTGGTCACATGGCCATCCTGAACCAATCACATAGCCCACAGGCAGAGAAGCTCTGAATGACCCTGGCCTGTTGGCTTGCCCCCTCTTCAAGCCAGCAGTCGGAAGAGCCAGCAGGGTGGAACAGAAGATGAACTGGTTGGGGCAGGGAGTGCTTAATCAGCATGAGGAGGTGGGAACCCCATGGTTAGAGGTTGTCCCCACCTCTCCTCCCTCCCTTCCTTTCAGGAATGACCACACCGGGCTCCTCACCACAGCACCACCAGCCGGGTGTCAGTTCTCTGTCCCTGAGCACGGATACCAGACGGCAGCAGGCCCAGCAGGTGCCACCTACCTTGTCCCCACTGTCACCCATCACTCAGGTGCGAGGCCACGGGGCTAGAGTTGGATGGGAGACATGAGGGCGGGTTACAGAATCCCCAAGTCCCTAGATGCTTTTTCTTCTTACCATTGATGTTGTCAAATGCATGGGACACAGAATAGCAATTCCTGTGATGGCAAACTCCACTGCTGACCGTCTCCATACAGGCCAGGGCAGGGCCCCCAAGCCAGGCAGACCTGCAGGGTTGTCATTGACCCCGCTTTTTTTCAGGGTCAAATTGAAATCACCATACTCAGAAAATCAGAGTGTTTGCCCCTTTTTTGCATACTTGCAACTTGCCTTGTTTACTTCCTGCATTTTCAGTCCCTAACAGTAGGGGGAGCCCTTGGGTGGTGCTGTAGTTGACCCGTTGAGCTGCTCATGGGATGACCAGCAGTCCACCTAGTGCCTCAGCTATAGGAATCACAAACGTCCCCTGCTGAGTGTCCCTGGACTAGGGGTTTCCACTGACCCCCAAGAGACTGCATCCCATCATGATTTGACCAGCTGATGTCCTTGGACGCTACACACACCTTAAACTACATAACTGAGTGGGAAGAGAGAAAGGAGGGAAATCTTAGAGGCTGAAGGTTCTGGGGACCACTGGGTGGTTCAGTGGGTGACCAAAAGGTTAGGCGTTCGAGGCCACTAGAGCTACCTTCGAAGAAACACTAGATGATCAAGAAGCCATCAAACCCTGAGAAACAAAGTTGTGCCCTGGCACCCATGGGTTACCCTGGCCGAGTGTCTGCTCGACCACGACAGGACCATTGTCATTTTTAAACACAGCACCGTGACACCATCCCCCCAAAGTAGAATTCCCCATGCATCCGTCTGGCCGCTGCACAGCAGGTCCAGGTCTTGTGCAGGCAGATGGTCAGGAGGCCTGGTGGCCCCAGGACTGTGCTCTGGCTCCCCTGGGCCAGGCCCCTCGCCCAGTGATGCTGGTCCTCCTCCCACCCCTCAAGACAGCCTGCCTGGTTGGAGGCCTCTTGTTCACAAATCACCCATTGGCTTCTCAAAGCATTTACTTTGTTTTGTTTTGGGGAGGGTTTTTTTTTAACATAAGAAATGTTTTCTTTTCATTTTTTTCATTGTTGCATATTTTCTGCGCCCTCCCCCAGTCCTCCCCGCAGTGCGTCCCTTGTTCCAGACTGCTGTCATTCATATCAAAGCATCCACTTTGGCTGCAGTTGGGCATCAGGTCGCTGCTCACCCTGGGCCGGCAGCTTTCACACTCAATGTCCACATTCCACACATCACCCCACACAGAGCTCTCTCCTCTGCTTTTTGTGGGTTGGTTTTTATCTCCCTTTCTGATTGTAGTAAAGATACAGAGCATCAGTAAATGCATCCGCCACGTCTACAGCTCAGTGACATCACTGCACGTTTCACGTCGTGCCATCCTTAATCTCTTTGCCTTTCTAGAACCCCCATTTCCCCACCCCGCCCGTGTTTCTCCTTTCAAACATGAGGAGGTCGAGTGGTCGCCCACTGACTGCCTTTGTCAGCACACCTTGTTCAGCACCCAGAGTGGATGAGAGTCAGAGTAGGGGCGGGAACCCTCAGGACCCTTGTTGTGTACTGGCCGTCAGGATGGCGGGGCTGGACCACCGACAGTGGCTGCAGCGAGGGCGGGAGGACTTGAGCTCCCCTGGCCTGCTGAATGCCGAGTGTGGGCTGGCCCGGCCTCAGCCTCCATGGCCCGTGGTTTTCCACCTGCCCATTGTTACATAGTTGCTGGGCAGGAGGGTGGGTGGCCCACAGTGACCAGCAGCTCCATAAGGAATGTCTGTCCCTTCCCAGGCGATGACCATGGACGCCTTGTCCCTGGAGCAGCAGCTGCCCTACGCCTTCTTCACGCAGGCGGGTGCCCCGCCACCACCGCAGCCCCAGCCGCCACCTCCCCCACCGCCCACCTCTCAGCAGCAGCCACCCCCAACACCCCCAGGTGGCCCCCTGATGCCCAGTGCCAGCCTGCCACGTGGCCCACAGCTGCCCCCACTCCCGGTCACCTTGCCGTCCTCGCTGCCCCCGTCCCCTGCTGAGAGCCCTGGCCAGCCGCCCCTGGGGATTGATGTTGCCTCGGTGAGCCTGGGGCGGGGGTGCTTGGAGGTGGGGAGTTGGGTTACAGGAGGTCCAGGTAGAAGGAAGTTCAGTTCCCTCAGCCAAAACTGTGGCTTTGCTGTATAGATGAGGAAACTGAGGCACAGGTAGGCACTATTACTCTCAGACTTAACAGCAAACGGGCTGTCCGCCATTGAGCTGTCAGGTATCCCATATGGGCCCTGCAAGCCCTTCTTGAGTCTGGCTTCTGTGGAGGTGGTGAGCAGCCAGAGGGTCTGGGAAATAAATATCTGGTCATGACTGGACACAGGAGGATTTAAGACGTGTGACTGACAACAGTCTCGAGGGTTCAGCGTCATCAGGACTTGTTTTGTTCATTGCTATCCCCTTTTGGACTGCCCACACATTCATCCCAGTTCCCCAGGGGTAGGGGACGAAGCTCCATGTGGCCAAAGCCGGGAAGCAGGGCCCCACTCAGGGCATAGACTGACCTTCAGAGTTCCCACACTGCACCCTCAAGGAAACAGCATATGCCAAAAGGGAATCCTGAAACTTGGTGGGCTTACATGGTGGGGTGACTGCTGCCCAGAACCCCAGGAGAGATACACACCCGCACCAGCCTCCACATAGGCCACCTCTTGAAACCCTAGAGAGGCCGTGGGAGCCTAGTGAGGACACTTTGGTGGCTGTGGCCAGGTGGGTCCGTGCTGACACCCCTCTCCCACAGGCACCGTCCCTGCAGCAGTACCGCACAAGCGCCGGCTCCCCAGCCAACCAGTCTCCCACCTCTCCCGTCTCCAACCAAGGCTTCTCCCCTGGGAGTTCTCCACAGGTGAGGACGCTGCCACCCTCATCATCACACCTCCTCACCCTGTCTGCTCCACACATACCCCCCTCCACACACCCCCCACCCCGTGTCTGCTGTCTGCGCCTGTCTCATCCGCATCTTGAGTTGGGGGCAGGCAGAACTGGAGGGATACGATTGGGTACTGGGTGGAAGGTGGGAACAAGGAGATGGGGGGATGGGAACAAAGCACCCAGGAGGGGCCCAGGCCAGGTACCCCTTGGAGAGTGGAGGGCCAGGCACTGTCCCTGCCAAGCAGCCATCCCCAGAGCTGCTTGTGCCTCTGAGCCCCCTGTGGGACATTGGCAGGGCAAAGGCTTTGTGCTCACATAGTGACAGTCAAAGGCCTTTGTTGGAACCCGTGTTAACCGCGCCTCAGTGCCTTGCTCAGAGGTCCAGGGACACCCCTTGAGGCTATGTATAATGAATTCCCAGAAGACACCCCATTGTGAGACTCCTAAGCATAGCCGCACTCCCACCCCCTCTGACTTCTCCATCCTGACTGAACCTGGTAGAGCTGAAAAGGCTAAGTCTGGGCTGTTTTCACAGGGCTTTGGGGTCTCGGGCATCCTTGCATCATTTCAGAGAAACAGAGCTGTCCCAGGCTCTGGGAGGCAGGACTTTGCCCCACGTCTTGCCAGCTCCAGGGTCTCTTGCCCCATGTGGCTGCCCTGGTGAGCGTGGACCTGATCCAGATCTCTGAGCCAGCCCGTCTCCCCAGAGTTCCCTACCTCACTGCCCTATGGAAGCTTTTAGCTTGCACCCCACCCCCCAGTCAGGATTGTGGCCTTGGCAGACTCATCTAATGGAGGGAAAGGCTTTTGGATCCCCCCCCCAGCCCACCCCAGGAGTGAGAAGCTCCCAGAAACCATTGCAGTGCCCAGACCCTCAGCAGATCCCTGAGTGGTCTTGTTGCTCTGCTTGATAGAGGAAGCACTTCGGGGATAGGACCCTCCCCGGGTGCTCAGAGACCCCCACCTGTTCCCTCCATCGTGGACTGGAGTGGGCTGCCAGACCCAGCCCTGTGCTGCCTCCTGGTTCTGTGGATGGGGGAAAGCACCCCATCCCATCAAACACTGATGTAGGGTGTAGTCCAGTGTCTGTCAGTCTACACACTCTTGGTCTCCGCACACCATTTCCAGGATCTTTGGCCCTGCAACACGTTGGTCTTGTGACATAGTCAGAGGTATTGGAGAAACTGTTGAGGGATCAGGGTATCCTTGAACCAGACCAGGACCCCCAGGGGCAGCAGAAAGCATTTACTGGTTCCCCAGTCATATCCCTCTTCCCTGTGGCACAACAGGAACCAGGTTGGGCTGCCTGAATGGTCATTTAATTCTTGGGCCCAAACCTGCAGTGGCTTGGCTGCCCCACACAGACAGCAAGAATGTTGCTCTCTGTCCAGCTGTGTGTGCAGTTTTCTTTTCTACTACACACAGAGCCGTAAAGCGGGGGACCAGTGCTCAGTGGTCCATTCCCCCAGGAAGTGCAGCCTGAGTTCAGAAGAGGCCTGTGACAGCTGAGACGGTTGAGACACCAACTCCCACCTTCTCTCTCCGAGAAACCCAGCCACAACTTACTGATCCCGATTTCAAAACTTTCAGACGGATGCTAAAGGACAGAAGTCACAGAGATCAGGACGCCTCTCCTACGACCTTGTGTTTCTCTGACTTTAACACGTATTTTTGGGGAACACAGTGAACCGTTAACAGAATTTTTGCCATGTTGCAGTTTTTCCTCTCTCTGTGTTTTGCGTTTGAGAGGCGTAGGGAATCGTACACCCCAGGAACACCCAGGCCCCCTCGCTGGGGTGGGCATTCCTTTGCTGTCACTCTGCTGACGACCCAGAGCTGCTAGCTGAGTTCCAAGTTCAGTGTGTCTTCTCTCTGGTGAACCAAGGCCCCAGATTCTGGCTCTGGCCATTGTCACATTAAGATAATTCTCAAACATCAGCAGGTGAACACAGGTCTTTCTAGAGCATCTGTCAGAACGTGCAAGGCTTTCTGTAGCAACACCTGTGTGGATCTTCCAAGAACAAAGCTCAAAGGCTGAGAGTCTGGGCTTTGACTCTGTGGAGACATCTGGACACATGATAGACCCATGTTCTCTGTGGCTCCTGTGGGGGTGGCAGATGGCTTCCCATGGCAGAAACGTAGCTGTGGGGGATCCAGGGTCTTGAACACAAGAGGGTCTCCTGTCCCCTGTGGGTTATCTGTGCTCACATTGTCGGCTTTGTACACCTGCCTGTCTAGTGTCTTCTCAGGCCAGTGAGGGGGCCACCAAACACCCTTTCTTTCTTTCTTTCTGGCCCCAACCTTAGTCACTGCTGCTCTCCTCCTGTGTCACTCTATCCCCAAGTTTGAGGATGAAGAAACAGTTCAGAGAGACACACACACAAACAGCAAGCCATTGGAAATGTGGTCACCTGAGAGCATACAATGTGCCCTCTTCCCACTGTCTTGAGCCATGGGTCCTTGTAAATAAGTATCACCGTCTCCTCCACTCCTAAGTGAACTCTGGGGTCCCTGGGACCCTCCCTTGCCAGAGACACTCCACCCCCCCAGCAGTGTCTGTCTGTCCACAGCACTCCTCCACACTGGGCAGTGTCTTTGGGGACTCATATTATGAACAGCAGATGGCAGCCAGGCAGGCCAATGCGCTGTCCCACCAGGTGAGCCTCAGCCAGAGATAAAGGCGGGCACATGGTGCCAAGGAACCTGGGGTGGGAAGTGGGGAGAGCCCTGAATGGTGGGATGGGACCCAGACAGGTCGTAAAACCCAGTGCCTGATGCCAGGGGAAGGGAGGGGGCTGGGAGAAGGGGAGGAGAGGAGACTACGTGGGGCTGGAACTGCAGGGCATGCTCATGGAAGTTGGGGAGGGGCAGTAGGTGAGGTCCCAGGACTGATGTGTGGCTTGCTCCTCGTCCATCTGAGTGGGGGACACAGTGTGGGTATACTCAGCTGTCCGCGGTCCCCGAGCTCACGGCCTTCCTTTACCTTTAGTTGGAGCAGTTCAACATGGTGGAAGGTGCCATCAGCTCAAGCAGCCTGTACAGCCCCGGCTCTACGCTCAGCTACTCGCAGGCTGCCATGATGGGGCTCACGGGCAGCCACGGCAGCCTGCAGGACGCCGCACCCCTGGGGTACCCGAGCCATGGCGGCATCCCCAACATTATCCTCACAGGTGAGAGGGTCTGGGGAGGCCTGACACACCCACCCCAGGGACAGACGACCAGGGGGTGCTCTAGGCCAGGTGTCCCCCAGGCCAGGGGCTCAGAGCCCTGCAGGTCAAGTAAGCACAGACAGAACCCAGAACATGCATAACCGTAGCATGGGCTGACATGTCAGAGCTGTCACCTGCCGTGAGCAGTGCAGAGTTCAGACCCTCCCACAGCCCCCTCCCCACATTCCCTGGGTGTTCTCGGCTTTGTTGAGGGAAAAAATTTATTTCCTGAGAAATCGGGGCTGCTCGAGTTGAAAGTGAGACACACACAGCCACCTACCCTCCTTGATTCCTGCAGGGTCTCCTGCTACAGCCCCGTGTGGCCAGGGACAACACTGGAATCAAGCCCCTGGGGGTGTCCCCACAGACCAGAAGGGCAATAGTTTTCATGCCCACTTCTCAGATGGGAACACTGAGGCCTAAAGCCTCATTTCTAGTAAAGCACCTCTGGCTTTGTGGTTCAAAATATCTACTGAGAACATGGGCTTCCGCCAGCTCATGCAATGCTTTATGTTCCACAAGGATGTCCTTGTCCCCTCCTCATAGCACCTCTCGCATACTCACACTGTTGTCCTCAGACACACATGCCAGTTCACACAGGCCGGCTGGGTGGAGAAGGGCTCCCACGAGATCAACACGCATGTTTGGGGCCAAGTCGTTCTCGCAGGTGGGGCCATCTGTAGGGTGTTGACCAGCTTCCTTGGTTTCTATGCACTTGATGCCAGGAATTCCCCAGTTTTTAACAACCACAGATGCCCCCAGGCATTGCTGAGTGTTCTCTGGGCTCAGTATTGGTCCAGGTTTGAACCCCTAGACCCTGGAATTCCATTGACACCAAAAAAAACCTGTCTCATAATCATCTGACCTGACATGCTAGGATGTGACATATATTACATTTACTAGCTAGGTTGATAGGGACATCACAGGAACTAGGGGAGCTCCTGGAACCCTGGGGTGGTGTTGGTTGGTAGGTGCTGTTGGATTGAGTCTGAGCCATGGTGACCCGTAGCGATCTGATGTTCAGCCAGGTCTGAAGCCTGGCCTGGCCTGTGCAGTTACCATCTCTGGCATACTCGAGCCCACTGAGGCAGTCACTGTGTCAGTCTGGTTGAGGGTGTTCCTGTCTTTCACGGACCGTCCAGCTTTCCAAGCATGATGTCCCTCTCCAAGGAATAGCCTGTCCTAGCAACATGCCCAAACTGTGTGAGACAGGGCTTTGATATTTTGGCCTCCAAGGAGCACCAAGGGTGGTACGCACAGCTAAGTGCACAACTGTGAGCGGAAAGATTGGAAGGTTGTGTCCACCCAGAAGTGCTTTGTATTAAGAGAGGCCTGGTGACCAGCCATTAAAAACCCTGTAGAGTGCAATTCGACTTTGACCCACGTGGGGCAACCATGAGTTCCAGTCAACTCAGTGACAGCTGATTTTATTCCTGTTATTGTTGTTGTAGGATCATTTTCATTTATGCCATTTAACTAATTAGGAGCAAACTTGGGTTTTCCAAATTATTAACATACAATTTCTTCCCTTTGGCACTGCTGAAGTCTGGGCTGGATTGTCCTTTAGGTGGGGACCATCCTATACCCTGTGGGGTGTGCCTCCACCCGCTCCATGCCTACAGCACGCTTACCCAGGTCTGATAACAAGGAGCGTGCAGTGTGCCAGAAGGCAGGGTCAGCGATATGAAAGCTGACAGCGGTGGGGATGCAGAGGCGGGGTGCTGGCCCCCAGGAATCCAGGACTCAACTGTGCCTTTTGCCGTCCTCTCCCCAGTAACCGGAGAGTCCCCTCCCAGCCTCTCTAAAGAACTGACCAGCTCACTGGCCGGGGTTGGTGACGTCAGCTTCGACGCCGACGCTCAGTTCCCCCTAGATGAGCTCAAGATCGACCCCCTGACTCTGGACGGGCTGCACATGCTCAATGACCCTGACATGGTCCTGGCTGACCCAGCTACTGAAGACACCTTCCGGATGGACCGCCTCTGAGCAGCCGCTGCCACCACCGCCACCGCGGTCAGTGGTCCCCACAGCGCCGCCATGCACCGGCCGAGCTTGTGATTCTAAGCTTGCGATGCTGCAAAGCGCCCCCACCTGCCCGCCCTTCGCCTCCCGGTTGTCCCCCCCCCCACCCCGCCCGCTTGTCCCAGCGTGAGGCCGAGGGCCCGGCTGGGTGGGGGTTAGAGATCTGAGCCCCCTGCTCACGGCCACCTTCTGGTTGACCCTGCCTGCTCGCCTGGGCCATCTGCTTGGGACAGTGTAGGGGTTGGAGGCTGAGCCCCCTGCCTGTTGCCCTCCCCTGCGTGTTCTTGCCCCCTTCTGCCTGGGGTGCGAGCAGGCCCCTGTAAGATACCAAGAGCATGTGCCGGGCCACCAGGCCGGGGGCGCTTTTCGAGGTGCATCTTCCGACTGTTGTCCAGCTCTCACTGCCTTCCTCCACCCCCCCATTCCCCCCACCCCGGCCGCCACCCCAGGGAGCCGGCGCCAGAGAGGGGCCCGGGACCCAAAGCAAAATAAACACTATTTTGACCGCTGTCTTTTATATTTCTGAGCACATGCAAGATGCCGGGCTCCGCCCAGTGGAAGCGCAAGGTGGATGGAGTGTCCCTGGCAGCAGTGACCGAGCACCCTCCCTGAGCCCCGCAGGCTTGGCCCACCCTCGGTCAACGCCGCTGCGGCATGAAACTCCCACCCAGGAATGGAGGACCGCAAGGCAGCCGCTCAGGGAGGCGGGAGCGATCCCCGGGGTTTCAGCAGCTTTCAGTCTTCTCATTATCTGTCCTCGATTGCTGGTCTTGTGACAATTTCCTCTTGCTCTTTAAGGAAGTGGGGCAGGGCAGCCAGGGGATCTCAGTAGCGTTTTTTTTTCTTTGGTTCATATTTCTATTCTATTTCGATTGTAGACAAGAAACAAGCACTTTGGCTAACCCTTGGCTGCTAGCATGTTTGGCCCCAGCCCCCTTGTGTATATTTTCACTGTAACTGGAAGTGGGTACATGCCAGGTTGTCCAAAATGTTGGGTCTGAGCCACCTGGAGCCGCCAATATAGCACGCCTCTGGGGACTGGGGACAGGACGGGTTTTGGTTAAGGGTCCGCAAAGACCTGGTGGCACTCCCTGTCTCAGGCAGAGGAGGTGGCCGACAAGATTACCACTCCTTGAGAGCCTAGGGCTGAGCTGGTGCCTGTTCTAGAAGGTGCTTCTAAAAATGCCTTCTGAGGCTGGTGATGGACCTCTAGCTAAGGCCAGGCCCTGGGCCATCTCCGACCCTTTGCACTGCAGACCGCGCCCGGGACTGCAGGGCAGCCTTGTTTTCTGCAGCTGCTTCGGAACTGGAGCCCGTCCCACCCCTTGCGTCGCACCACCTCTGCCTGATGCGCCTGTCCCTTCTGCTTAGCTGACCCTGTGGTGTTGGGCACCGCCTGTGCAGGGTCCAGGGGAGTGGACTGATCCAACTTCTGTTCTCCTTGATGGCCTGGCCATCCTTCACTCCTGCCCTCCTCCCTATGACACTGTTAGTTCCCATGACCATCTCCCTCTGAGAGCTGGCCTCCCCCAGCCCCCTTGCTGTCATCTTTGGGGCAGGCATGTCCTGGCAGGGGCCAGGGATGAGAGATGGGGGACCTTTTTTAAAAAAACAAACAGAAACTACATGTAACCTGTAAATAGAGTTTGATGATGATTAGACTTGTATGCAGAACTTTTAAACAACGGCCTTAATACAGGTTAAGGGTTCTGTACCCGCCTGGCTCCACGCTGGTTCCTACCCTCAGCTGGCCAGCCACAGCTACCCGAGGTGCCCAGTGTAGGGAGCGCTGATCTCGGGGACCTGCATCCTGCTGTGTGCCCTGAGTCGTGTTAACTGATGGCTCAGCTCCATCTTGGTATTGCTTTTCTGTGGAGGAGACCAAGGTCAAGTGAAACTTCCCAGACAGGGCACAGGAAATTTGAGACCAACTGGTAGGTGATGCCCTGGGGTTTCTGGTGCCAAAGGGATTGTGCCCTCTTAGGCCTGCAAAGTCCAGGGTGCATAATGGGAGATTATTATTTTTTTTTTTTTAGTATCACTATTAAATACTCTTAAATTGCCAAGACCTTCTAAGATGAACCTGCAGACAGGAACCAGCCCTTTGAATGGGTGTGAAAATGCTTGGTTCCTGACATGCTGTGGGGTGGGGGGTGGGGTGGCAGGGGTCCCTAGAATCTTGTATATAGTTCCGTCGCCTTTGTCTTCTCTCAGGGCAGGCCTGGATGCACATCCCTCCTGCTTGTCCCCCTGGACGGCAGCCTGCTGAGAGAGAGCATGTGCACGCACGCGCCATCCCCATGGCCTGCCTCAGCTTCCCCACCAGTCTTGGGTCTGTAGGGGTGACAGACTTGCTTCCCTGTGTGGCATGCTGGCCAACGGGGACTAGGGCTCCCGCCCCCATGATACTAGCAGAAGGATTTGTGCTCCTCTCCTACTCCTGCCCTGGGGGGCTGCCAGCATGGGCCCAGGCCCTCAGTGAGATGCCACTCCCGTGTCACAGATAACAGGTGACCGCAGGGTGATGCCTTGACTCCCCACTGGCACTCTTACAAATGAGGACAAGCCAGCACACGTGGCACAGCCCTCTTTGTACACTCCTTTCCCAGAAGGGCAGGGCCAGTGCCGCCCCTCAGGACACTGGAAACCCCTCAGAGGGTGGCCAGTTTGTCAGCATTTGTGCAGAATTCACAAAGTCCTACAGCTGGCTGCTCCCAGAAACTGGCCCTTGACTGGCACAGGTGGGCACTTCTGTGGAGGTTCAGGGGTCTCCCAGACCTGCCTAGAACCAAGGCCACAGGGTGTAAGGGGAGGCCCATTTGTGGGGCCTTTACCCCACAAGGACCCCTCTCTACCTCCAGGGACCCCAAGAGGGTGGAGGGGCCTCTCACTGTACTTTATCCCTTCGTGCAGCCCTGAGCTGGGGAAGAGGTGTGTCTGATGTCTGTGTTTGTAGATTGAGGTTTTTGAGGGGAGCATGCCTTCAGGTGGATCATCTTGAGGCTGGATGGCTACTTAATAATGTGAGACCCACGTACAGAGGCTAAGAGGTCCATGCCTGTCTGTCCATCTGTCCTGTTGTGCGGATGGACCTTTGTGTTGTCTGGCACTGGCTGAAGCAGGGCAGGAGTCTTGGGGGCAGATGCTGGTGCAAGGCTGCCCCTTGTTCAATTTCTTGGGCCCAGTGCGCCTTTCAGCATGCCTGTCAGGGGACTCAGAGGCTTCAAGGACATGGGAGAATCCCCCATCCCTGGTCCTCCATGTCACTCATGACCAAACGTTAATCTATGCACCCACCCGCCCTATCCAAGAATCTGAGTCCCTGTGTTCCCAGAGAAGGTTGCCTTGGTACCCCATGGTACCATGGGCTGACTAGAGTGGGTAATGTCCTGCAGTATTGAGGGGATCTATCCATGTTCTCCCCATCAGAACAGCAGCCTCCGTCACCCAACAGACAGAAGATACATGACCTTCTGCCAGGGCCATAAGTGGGGGACCCTCATAGGGGTTGGGAGGTAAGAACCCTCTACAGGGTCCTGGATGTAAGGAGACCTGGGGTACAAGAGCCAGGATGGAATGTGGCAGTCCTCAGTACAGAATTAGACACAGGCAACCCTGGCTTAGAGCTCTAGGTCTGCGCTGAGGTCAAAGACCATTGTTCCCTTGGGTGGCACAGTGATTTACACCCCCAGTTCTCCCTGAGACCCCACTGCTGGGGGGGTCTCTTGTGTTTGTAGGGGGCCGTCTCCTGAGCATCTTCTTGCCAGCTCCTGGAGTCCCTGTCTGGGCAAAGGTCAGTGATAAGGAGGCTCCCCTCCCACCCCCAGGCAGACACAGGCCTCGTCCCAGCACTAGCTGTGGTCTCTGTTTCCTTTGGCACAGTCCAGGAGCAGGGAAGTGGGTGACATGCACACCCAGGCCTGCACTGTGGTACCTGACCCCACTTCATTCCTAAGGGCTTGGAGGGGGTAGGGCCAGCCTGTGCCAGGCCATACCCTCGGCGCCCTGTCAGTGGCTCAGACCAAGTGGGGAGCAGGGGTTGGAGTCTGGATGGCCAGGGGGGTCTGGGAGTTGGGGCAGTGATGCCAAGCCTATCAGCCTGGAAGTCAAGCTGAGGTGACTCCCAGCATGGCCCGTTGTAGGACTCCCAGGGGCTGGACGCCCCACTGATATATGCAAACCTGCGGCCTGTCCCCCAACCCCAGCATGTACTCTGGCGGCGGGGCTGGCCGGCCGTCCTCCTCCCTTGGCGCGGATGCTTCTGTCTTTGTACCTTTGCATCTTTGTAATGAAATGTAATAAAACTCCATTGTTTTCGTCTCTGCCTCCTCCTTTTTTTTAAACCCTTCCCCTCTCCCTCCCCCTAGACACTGCAGAGGCCAGTGACCAGCCATGGACGTGTGTGAACAGAGCCACATGCAAGAGCCCCTCCCGGGCCCATCACCAATTCTCAGGCCCAGCTCCTAGCCAGAGGTGGACCCTTAAAACTTCACCCACTTCTCCCTCCTACTGGGGCAGATGATCCAGAAGGGCCTGGTGTGGCCATCACACACCCCATGAGGGCCATGGCACAGGCCTAGGGACCTCCCTAAATCAAAGTCATAATCCACAGGGTGGATTGCAGGGATGCATGGGACCGCTGGCCCAGCCCTCCAGCAGACAGACCACAGCAGCGTTCTCACACACACACACACACACGCTTTATTTCTTCCTCTCTCAGCCTCTCTCCCCTTCCTCCTGGACCAAGGGACTAACCCCAGCCTTGGCAGGGGTGGTGGTTGTCCCATGGAGAATCCTGCCTGACCCCTAGGCGCGCCGCAGCCGCTGGGCCTCGTAGTCCTCTGGGATGGTGTCTGTGAGAGGGAATGGGGGGGTAATGGTTATAGGAGCAAGAGAGGGGGTGAGGTCGTGGAGGAGAGGCGTGATTACAGGGTCAGGGAGAGGAGGTGGGGCATGGTAGGGCATTGTCCGCTGGGCCCCACCCTGACAGGCTCCCCACTTCCAGCTCACCATTACATCGGTAGCGCAGGTTGGCCCAGATGATGTTCTCCTGGGAGAAGCAGAAGACCCCCAGGCGGCCGCCCCTCATGGTGGTGTCTAATACCACATTGCTGTCCGCCACCAACTCCGGGCCTTCATAGAATCGCACTCTGTGCAGCGGGGTGGGTTCAATGAGACGCAGTCTGGCCAACCGCGAGCCCACGAGCCCACCCATCTCCGGTAAAGGACCCCTCCCTCTAGGCAAAGAGCTTGTTAGTGTCAGGTGGGTGGAGCCTACACACACACCTGAGTGCACGTTTCCTCACTGGAAAAGTAAAAGGGAAGATGCTGCCCATCTGCACTGGTGGGCAGCGCAAAGGAAGGCTCGTTCTCATTTACAGAAGAGACCGAGGACCCCGGCAGGGAGGCAGAAAACAGCAGGGCATGACCCGTCCCATTTTTGGGGAGGGGGTCCCCACCTGATGTAGCCCACTTGCGGCCGGTGCTGCAGGAACCAACGGTAGGACGTCTTGTCCTTCCAGCCCACATTTCGAGGGTCCTTCCACAGCAGCCGCACCTGAGATGCTGTGTCCCCCGTGTGCCATAACGCGTTCCTCAGCTGCTCCCCGGGTCCCGTGGAGGATTTCACGGCCTGTCAGCCCCGCCAGGGACAGGGAGGAGTGGCTCAGAAACCAAGCAGGCCAGAGGACCCACCACCACCACCAAACCCCAGACACTACTTGGCGGGATAGGCAGAAAACTGCTGGCCATGGAAGGGTGGAAGGTCAAGGGTTAGGGAGGGCGGTTAGATAAAGGACTCCCAGGAGCCTCCTTGGGTGTAAACAGGGTTTGAGTGGGTCATAGGATAAGGTGGCTTGGGCACTTATGAAAGGATTTCTGTCCTGCAAAGTTCATGGTCTAGATTTGGGGTCTGTAGGAAGATTCAGTAACCTCAGAAAGTCTTGGGTATCCCGAACTGGACTCTAGAAGACTTGGGGAGGTTTGCTGGAGGATTTCGGGGATAAATGGGTTATGGAGGACATATAGGAGATATCTGGAAGGTTTGGAGGCTCTGTAAGAGGGCTCAGGACCCGAAAAGTTTCAGAGGACCAGAGATCATATTTGAGGGTTATGGGAGGACTGGGGAGGCTTAGTGTCAGTGGAAAGGTCTACAGAAGGATCTGAGGGTCTAGCAGTCTGACCCTACAGGTTTCTGAGATCTGGGGGGTGGGGTAGGGTGGGAGGTGGGAGTGTTCTGGAGGGGAGGTCCCTGGGGAGCTGAGTCAAGGTGCTGGCAGAGACTATAGGGACAGTGGCTGCAGAGGACTAGAGGTATGTCTCAGGTGCCTAGGGGGGGCCCCAAGGAGACAGGCGCTAGTGCGCCCCCACCTTGAGCTGGATGCCCGGCTCTGCCACAGCTCGGAAGGGGTTTGCCTGCCAGTATGTCTGTTCCATCTGCTTCCACATGACCACGTAGAAGCTGGAGCTGTCCTGGTACCCGAAGATGAAGCCCGCATAGTCGTCATCTGTGACTGTGTTTACGTGGAACGTCCCCTCAAAATCCACTCCATTGAAGGCTGTGTAACCTGGGTAGAGAGGAGGAGCTAGGACTCTCAGAGGCCAACTTGTCCCTTCAGAGACCCTAATAAACCCTACAGAGGCTCAGAACTGCTCATGGCACCGCCCTTCCAGGGTTCGGATAGCCGAGGGCCACTTAACCGAGACTCATGTCTTCTTCCCTAGACAGCACCTCGACTCTCTCCAATCCAGATGTGGACACGCCTCCTGGGCATAATCACGCCCCTCCCGCGCCAGGGCTCTGCCCACCGCCCCACCCTCTAGGCTCGGACACGCCCCCTCATTTAGCACCGGTCCCGCCCGCAAAGCTAGAGGTCAGCGTCTCACCCACAGCCAGGCCGGGGTCGCTGTTCATGGTCTGCACAATCTCCATGCCCTGGTGGGTTAGAGACAAAAGTCAGGCCCTGGGGGCGGCGCCCCTCGCCCTTCCCTCCAGCCCCTCAGCCCCGCCCTTACCTGGTTGAGCACCACCCAGTTGGGGTCAATCTGCGCATCGCCCTCAGGGTCCAGAACCACTGTCTGGAAAGCCCGGAAGTCCGTGAGGGTGACCTCTGCGTTCTCCGGGCACACGTCGATCTTGTCCACTACCTTGTCGGCATCGAAGTCATCCTGGCACGCGTCCCCAACGCCATCCCCTGGGAGGACGTGGACATGCCCCTCTGTGGGCCCACTGCCCCCCTCACTCCCACGCACAGCCCCACCCACTCGTGCTCAGGCTCTGCACACAGCAAAGGACTGACCCATGACCGTACAGCTTAGAAAACCATGCTCGTTCAGCTCAGGCTCCCCCCACGCCCAGGACAGCTGCAGTCCCTGCCCACTCAGGCCCTGTCCCCACTGTCCCCTGCCCTACTGTTTGAGTCCTCCTGGCCCGGGTTGGGCACCACGCGGCAGTTGTCCCGACTGTCGATGACTCCGTCATTGTCATCGTCGTCATCACAGGCGTCACCCTGACCATCGTGGTCTGTGTCCAGCTGGGCGCTATTGGGCACTGTGGGGCAGTTATCCCTGGAGTCCTGGTGGCCGTCTCCATCCCTAGAGTTAGGGGACACAGAGGAGTAATGAGACCTCTACTCAGCTGAGCCAGAGGCCAAAAAGGCACCACGGACCCTCCCCTGACCTCCCACCTCCCCACCAAGAGGTCTTCTTACTTGTCTTGGTCGCTGTCACAAGCATCTCCCACAAAGTCGTGGTCCACATCTCTCTGGGGAGGAGGACAGAGGATCTCAGAAGCCTATCCATTTCATTTTCTTCTTCTTCTTCATTTTAATGAACATTTACAGAGATTTTGGATTTCCATTCATTCATTGTTGCACTTTTCTCCCTGCCCACCCCCTCCCCTCCAGTTCGCTCTTCTCTTTGAAAAGTAAAAGAAAAATTCCTTCATTGGTATACAATCCCCCCCCCCCATCCATTTCATCTTAGAGCCCTCCAAGGGCTGCTCATATGGGGAAAGTGGAATGGTCTAACCTGGGGTCACCCAGCCTCTAACTCCATGGATGTAGCACCCCCACCTGGTCAGGGTTACTCTTCTGGGGACAGTTGTCACAGGCATCCCCTATGCCATCACCATCAGCATCCCTCTGGTCTGTATTGGGCACTCTGGGGCAATTGTCCACTGTGTTTCTGATACCTGGGGGAAGGGGAGTGTAAGGGGCGATGTCAGGTCCTGGAGATCAAGGTGGGCCAACCTGACCTCAGCAGGGCAGGAGCAAGCAGCAAATCAGTTGATAACAGAGCCCCTTATCCCCAGCTTCCTATAGATGAAAAATTACCCCCAGGATATTTCCTTGTCCCAATCTCATGGGGATTTAGGGTTAAAAACAATTTTCTGGAGACTACGCCACCAGAACCCCCTTTTCCCAGGGCTTTAGGCTGACTGGAGGTAGGGAGTTGGACTGCTAAGGCAAAGGCCGTTAGAATGCACTAGCTGCTCTCCAAGAGAAAGGTAACCTTTCTTTCCATTTACAGCCTCTGAAACCCAATGGAGGGTCAGCTGAGTCAGTTCCCACTCCACAGCAGAATGAATGAATGAATGAGTGGAGGTGAGGGGTGCAGGGTGGGGCGTTTGTCCTCACTCACAGGCACAGTTCAGCTGGGTTCCCACTCTGTCAAGAAGGTACTCCTCAAGACTCTATTTCTGCATTTGTAAAACCTCTGACTCTCACCCCAAACCCTAGGATCACCCCTAGACACCTCCCAGCAGCGTCTGTACATTTACCACCTCCCCTTCCGAAAGCCCTTCTCCCAAGATCTGACCACCTCTCCAGCCAGCTGTTCTCCACCTCAAGGACTGGTTTGATCCAGGGACCCCGCCCCCGCCCCAAGAGAGCTCCCCTCTTCTCCCCAGGCTCTACTCCTGCACCCCCTCCCCGAGCGCTCACGGTCGCCATCAATGTCGTCGTCGCACGCATCGCCTCGGCCATCCTGATCTGTGTCCTTCTGGTCATCATTTTTCTGGGATCGACAGTTGTCACACGCGTCACCCCACTTGTCGCCGTCGGTGTTGCGCTGGTCTGGATTTCGCACCAGTGGGCAGTTGTCCTGCAGATGGTCAGCGGAGAGCGGAGTCAACTGATGTGGCAAAAGTCACTCCTCACCGAGCCCACTCCTCGCCACGGTCCCCTTTGGGCTCCCACCTGCTCATTAAGGATGCCGTCCCCATCAGCATCCGGATCGCAGGCGTCACCAATGCCGTCCCGGTCCACGTCCTCCTGCCCTGAATTGGGCACCGTGACACAGTTGTCCTGGGAGTGTGGGAAGACTATGAGAAACGTGGCCACCAGAGGCCCGCCGGTCCCATTGCCTGGCCACGCCCACCTCGGAGTCCCCACCCCGCTCACCTTGCGGCACTGACGCTCCGAGCAGCGAAGCTTCTCATCTGGGAAGCCATCGAGGTCCGTGTCGCGGGCACAGAGGAGTCCGTTCCCCGCCCAGCCTACGGCGCACTACGGGACGAGAGTGTGTGGGTTACACGCTCGCTACCTCCAGATCTCTAGGATCCCATTCCAGCCCCTCCCACTCCAGGCCTTCCTGTACCCGCCTCCCGCCGGCACTCACCACGCACGTCTTCGAGCCGTCACGCTCCAGGACGCAGTCGGCCTTCTCGTGGCACAGACTGGGAGTGCCGTCGGGACAGAAGCGCTGCGTGCCCCTCCGGCAGCCGGACGCCTGGTCCCCCACGAAGCCGGGCTGGCATGGGCCGCATTGGAAAGAGCCCTGCGCGGGAACGCAGGCGGTCAGCGCGTGCCTCAAGCCCTCCCACCCGGTCCCGGTCTCACTTCCTCCAGCTCCACCGGACTCACCCGCGTGTTGACGCACACGGAGTTGGGAACGCAGTTATGCTGTCCAGTCTCACACTCGTTAATATCCGTACACACCTTGGGGACCAGACGCAGAGATCACCGCCTACTCAGAGCCCCGCCCCCACCCCAGGCCCCTCCGCGTTCCACCCCGCCCCTCAGGGCCCGAGCCCCAGGCCCCTCCTGCCCGGTGTCACTGAAGTCAGTGGATGCGTTCATTGGGCAAAACAGGCCCCTTCCTCCTGCACAGTTGGGCCGGCGCCCCAGGTGTCCCTCACCTGCTTGTTGGCTTTGGCGAAGGCCAGCCCCACGCCCTCGTGCGTGGAGCCACTGAACCCAGGCGGACAGGCCTCGCAGCGGAAGCCGGGGCTGGTGTTGATGCAGCGGACGCGGGGGAAGCAGGGGTGGGCGTTACACTAGGGGCGAAGGGGGCGCGGAAGGTCAGAGCGTGGCGCCTCGGCACTTCCAGGCTCGAACTCGAAAGTCATCTAGTCTGGATTTGCAGGGGTACAGGGGATGGGCAGGGGCGACATGGGGGCGGAGGAGGCTTTCCCGGGGATCAGAACCGCCTTGGGTTCCTTGGGGCTGGGGGGTGCTCCTGGCAGTGGTTGTTCTTGGACATGGTGGCCTAGGTCCTCAGGGGTTAGGACTCTGGTGGCGGGCGTCCCCAGCGGCTGGAGGGAGAGGTCGTCGGGGAGGCCGAACCCGGCGGTTGAGGGGTGGTCGGGGTGGAGGACCCCCGGAGGTGGGACGGTCGTTGGAGAGAGCGCCCCTGGGTGGTGAGGGAGGTCTTGGGGGTGGTATCACTTCAGGGGCTGTATCTTCAGGATGGTCACCCCCAGATGTTGAAGGGGTTCGTTGGGGTTCTGCCTCAACGGTGGGAGGGTCGTCAGAGCGCTGATCCTCGGCAGTGGAGGCGGCCGTGGGGGTGGGCGACCCCCCGTGGTGGAGGGGACGTCCGGGAGGTGGGATCGGGGCGGGCGTACCTCGTTGACGTCGGTGCAATGTGAGCCGTTGCCGGTGAAGCCCGCGGGGCAGGGGCCGCAGCGCGCGCCGCTCGCGGTTTCGGTGCAGACCACGCCGGGGAAGCAGAAGCCGGCCGCGCAGTGGGGCAGGGGGCGCACGCTCACACCAGGGGTGCGCACGGGCTGCATGCCTGCCGGGGTGGAGACGTAGGGGGAGGACCCGGCGGTAACCACCACACTCCGGGAGAGGGGCGGTCAGTTAGGACCACACGGGGCGGGGCACGACGGGCAGGACCACGTCTGCCCGGGATGGGGGGGTGGACAGAGTAGCCAGGCTCTCGCAGGTCCGGGAGGGTAGTCAGAACTCTGTTCTCGCGCCCGGACAGCGAGACCCCGGGAGAACAAAGAGACCTGGGGGGAGGACAGGGAGATTCCGGGGAGACAGGGAGACCCCGGGGGGGACAGAGGAGCCCCCAGGGAGGGAACAGGGGAGCCGAGGGCTCCGCTCGTCCTGCTGGGCAGTCCCCCTCGCCACATCCTCGAGCCACCTCATCTTCTGCTTCTCCTTCACACAGTACGTCCCCACCTACTGGCGAGGGCCGCTGTCTCTCTCTCACCGTCTCTTCCCAACTCACCATTTCCGTCTCCCCTCCCTCCCGTCTGTCTGTCTCCACCGGCCCTCCCCCCACCCACCCCGCAGCGCTCACCACACGCGTCGCACTCCATGACCGTGTTCTTCAGGAACGTGATCTCCTTGACCTGCGGTGTGGAGAGATGTTAAGACTCCTCCTGGGATCCCCATTCCCTTCCCCGGACCCCCTCTCCATAGATTGCCTTGCTCCACTCCCTGCTCTTTCCTTTCCAAAGACTGTCCCCCATCCCTAGTCTCCCCAACCGCCTTTCCTCCATGCGCACAAATCTTACCTTCCCCCACCCCGTATCCCCCTTTCTATTTCCCTCCTCGTTCTTCCCTTCTCTCACTCCTTTCTTATAGTCCCGGGCCTGGACCCTGACCCCCGAAACCCTCATCCACACCTGCTGCCGCAGCAGTTCCCTAACGTCCTGCAACGCCGCGTTGGTCTCCTGCAGCTCACGTAGCATCTGTGGGGCCAGGTCTGCACCTGCGACGACAGGGGACGCTGGTGGGGCGTCGGGGTGCGGGGACACCTGGTACCCTCCCCATCACCCCTCCCGACCACCGCACGGACTTTCCACCCGGCTCCTCAGGTCCCCCCAGAACGCAGGCAAGGCATCCCGCTCGCCACCCCTCCCCCTTCCCTCCTGCCCCACTGCCTGCTTTCTCTGCCTCTGCCCCCCCTGCCCGAGCGCCCCTGCAAACATTCCTAGCACCCCCCTGGAGACGCACCCCCACCCGGTCTCCTGTGGGTCTGGCACCCCAACCCCCAGGAGCAGGCGTCAGGGTGCTAAGCGAGCGCGGCTTACCGAGGGGGATCTGGCCCTGGCCAAGGGCTCCCAGCGCGAGCAAAAGAACGCAGGCGGCGGTGGCGGCGGCACGGGCCATGGCTGGGCTCTGCGTCCGCTATGCGCTCTGCCGCCCACGAGGCCACGGGGCTATTTATCCAGCGGTGGCGGCAGGACGGCCCACCGGCTGCTCAGCCCAAGGTAAACAGACAGGCGGGGCGTCGCTGGCCTCTGTGTTCAACGTCCCACCCGCCTGCCCAGCCAGGCAGCCTCGTGGCTGAACTGGAACCGGTGGGGAAACTGAGTCAGGGAGCCTGTGAGTGGGGCAATCAAAAACCACTTGAGTGCTCCCACATACTTTTTGAGCGCCTGCCATTTGTCCTGCAACGAATGCCAGTCCCTGCCCCTCCCCCCAGTTCGCACCTGGGGAAATAGAGTCACAGTAGATGGTTACAAGTTTAGGAATCCGGCTTTTAGACCAACTCTCCACTCCCTTCTCAACAAGGTAAATGGGCTGATGACATGATTCTGTGCTTCAGTTTCCTCCCCTGTATAAGGGGGAGGATTATTGGTAGTGATGATGCTTGAAGGGAAGTGATGGGAGGTGGACATGGGAGACCTTCAGTCCTATGTACAGGTCTTGGTCTTCCTTGGGGTGGCAGGCCAGGACCCTTCCCTGTGGGTTCCCCCCTCCCTGAGTTCTCCAGCCAGAGGAGAGGAACAGAGGAACAGTCTGGTGGCCCATGTACCTGAAGCCCCCTTTTTGTCTGCACTTCAGTTTCCCTGTGAAATGGGCAGCCCCCCCCGTGTCCCCCCTATCAGAAGGGGGTAAAGTTAATGTTTCCAATGGAGATGATCCAAAGGGCAGCTTAGGGCTCTTGCTTGTGGAGGCCACACCATCCCTTTCAAACTGGGCTCCAGCTGCTCCGGGAAGAGGCGGTGAGAAACATAAAAAAGACTGCTAATCAGGGAAGTAGTCCCTTCCAGACTGGCAGCACTGTGTATGCCTATAAAACACCTCAGAGAGATTCAGTTAACCCTCTCCAGTCCAGCCTTCCAGCACTCACTGCCTCTGCTCCACAGACCGGGAAACAGATGCCCAGAAAGGGGCAGCACTTCATTTATGGACATTTTGGGAGACAGGCGTGAATACAGATCTGTCCTCCTGGCCGATGAGAGGACTTCCTGGAGGTGGTGGCAATGGTAACAGAAAGACAAAAGAGGATTCAGGTCAGCAGAGGGAAAAGATGAGGGCAGAAGGAATTGAGTGGGGAAAGGTCTGGAAGTGAGGGCATTTCTGGCACCCTCATGATTTTCATAGATGTGTCCTGAACACTTAGCATGTGAAAGGGTCCACAGTTACAGTTGGTTTAAAGCAGTTCTCAACTTGACCCCTCTTCCTTGTTGTGACCCCCAAGTCCCTAGGAGGCACCTAGTATTCATTCATCACATAGTGAGAGTGGAACTTTGGGGCAGGGGGTTCCTGATGCAGCCCAGAGGTGATAAGGAGTAATCAGGGCAGGCTTCCCAGGGAAAAAAAAAGATACTATACTGGGACCTGGAAGAGGAGATGCACAAGCCCAGACGAAAGAATGGTGGAAAGGTGTTTCAGGATAAAAGAACAGCAGGAGCAAAGGCCCTGGGGTAGAAATATGTTGAATGACCTCAAAAGTTTATTGCAGCACTGTTGTGAATACAAGAGCTGAAAGATGGATACAACCCAAGTGTCCATCAACACATGAATAAGCAAATACAATATGGTCCTCTCATGGAATATCACACAGAAAAAAGAAATGAAGTGTTGATACATTCAACAACATAAATGAAAGATGAAAACATTACACTGCACATGAAGAAATGTTCAAAATCCCTAGCTCTAAGAGAGATGCAAATCAAAACAACTATGAGATATCATCTCACCCCAGTCAGAATAGCAAAATTTAACAGAACAGCAAATATCAAATGCTGGTGAGGTTGTGGAGAAACTGGAACCCTTATTCGCTGTTGGTGGGAGTGTAAAATGGTGCAAACTACTGTGGAAGGCGGTATGGCGCTTTCTCAAAAAGTTGCGAAGAGAGATACCATTCGACCCAGCAATTCCACTACTGGGAATATACCCCAAAGAGACCATAACTGACACCCAAGCAGGTATATGCACACCCATGTTTATCGCGGCTTTGTTCACAATAGCAAGGAGTTGGAAACAACCTAAGTGCCCATCAACAAACGAATGAATAGAGAAGCTGTGGTATATTCACACAGTGGAATACTATGCTGCATTGAAAAACAAGGAACTCATGCAATATTATTCAAAATGGGTGATCCTGGAGGACATTATGCTGAGTGAAATATCTCAGTCACAAAAGGACAAATACTGCATGGTGCCACTGTTGTAAAGCAGGACTGACCTTGGGGTTGGGGAGACTGAGAAGGATGGGTTCAATAATGTATACTGCACTGAAACAGATGAGGGAGAAAACTGTTTAAGAGGAAAGATTTTTAGGTACTTTTGTTATGACAGGAGTCCAGAGTGAAGGCTGTATAGTGGAGTGGACCTCAGGGGAGGGATTGTAAAACAATGAAAGAATTTTTCTTTACTTTTCCAAGAGGGGAGTGTACTGGGGGGGGGAGTGTTGGGAGGGGAGAAAAGTGCAACAATGAATGAGTGGAAATCCAAAGTCTCTGTAAATTGACATTGAAATTAATAATAAAAGAAAAAATTACACTGAACAAAATAGTCTTAAAAGGATAAGGTGGTATGTTTGCACTTATGTCAAAAAGCTGGAAGAGCCAAGTCCAGTGGTAAAGTGTCTGAGTGATTGCTGGGGGACGGGAGGATGGGAGTTCTTTCTTGAGGGTACTTGAGTTTCTACTTGTTAGATGCCCTATTCTGGGCCATCCTAACAATCACTACTCATAAAGGTCCTCCTTTTTGTTGACATTCAACTTGACTGAGTACGATGTCTTTTTCCAGGGACTGTTCTCTGCTGATAATATGTCCACAGCATTCTCACCTCCTAAGAGCAACCTGGCTTAGGGGAATTAAAAAAACTTGAAAACACGTAGTGGTGATGATTGCACAATGTGATAATGACACCCACCATATTGTGCATGGTTGCAGTGCCTCTGAAGATAGTCCACAGATGTGCTTCAGAAAGGTCACAGCTCTGGAAGTTTTGTGGAGTATTCTACTCTACACACATGGAGTTGCCATGACAACTAACACCATCACAAAAGTATAAACAAATGGTTAAAATGGCCAAAGTTTTATTACATATATGTATTAGCATTTAATAAACAGAAAAAGAAGAGGTGTTGAGTTGGCAGGAGCCTGGGGAGAAGCAAGAGATGGATTGTGCAGAAGCAGTAGCAGTGGAATGGGGCTCAGGCTGTTTTTTCAGGGCATTGAGGAGCGACAGAGGGTGAGCAGGGGCAGGCCTGCAGGAGAGGTTGGGTGGGCACAGCCAGCCCTAGTCTGGGCATTTCCTGCAAGACCTGTGCCCGCCATGCCTGCTGCCTGTGGCCGGGCCATGAGCTCACCTCCTGTTTTCCTTGGCATCTGGCTTACCTGGGGGACTGCTCCCAGACTGCACTGCATTTCTTGGGAAAAACCATGGCTCAGGCAGGGCTGGTGTGTGGCTCCTGTAGTTGGGACAAGGGCACATGGAAGCCAGACCCAGCTGCCAGCCCAGCACAGGGCTTGGGTTTGGATGCACGTGGTCCTATCTGGCCTGAGCTTGAACAGATGCAAGGAAGGGCATTTCAGGTAGAAGGAATGGCTACGATGGATGCCCTGGGGATGCTCAGGCAGGAGAAGTTCTGAAACAAGCAGCTCCTGTTTTAGGCTCCTGCCCCTGGATCCCATCAGTCAGTGGTCCTAAAAACCTACTCCCCTTTTCTTTTCCTCCTAGTATTTTTTTTAAATGTATTTTTTTAAATTGTATGTTTTCTTCTTCTCTTTCCTCTCCTCAGTCCACCCCACAAATGCTCCCCTTGTTCTAGATTGTTCTCATATATTTAACGCCTAATCATATATTCCTTTCAGACAGTTCTTCCCCACATCTGTTCTAATGCAGTATTCATTATCTGCCCTCTCTTTTCCCATTCTCTCCCCAACACCATGTCTGTCATGTTTTCTAACAACGGTATTATGCAGTATTTGTCCTTTTGTGACTGAGATATTCCACTCAGCATAATGTCCTCCAGGCTCCCTCACGTTGTGTAATGTTTTACTATTTCACCGTTTTTCAGTGCTTCATAATATTCCATTTTGTGAAATGACCATAGGCTTTTCTATCCATTTGTTTATTGATGAACGCTTGGATTGCTTCTATCTCTTTGCTATTGTGAATGATGCTGCAATAAACATGGGTGTGCTTATATCCGTTTGAGTCATGGCTCTGGTTTCAATAGTAGAATTGCTAGATCAAACAGTACTTATATTTCTAATGTTTTGAGAAAGCACCAGACAGCCTTCCATAGCGGCTGTACTATTTTATATTCCCATGAGCAGTAAATAAGGATTCTAAGCTCTCCACAACCTCGCCAGCATTTGTTCCTTGCTGCCCTGCTGAACTTTACGGTTGTTGCTGGGGTGAGATGATGTCTCATAGTTGTCTTTATTTACATCTCTTTGATACCTGGGGATTTTGAACATTTTTTTCCTCTCTCTCTTTTTTCTTAAATCTTTTTTCTGCTTTTTTTAATTTTACTTTTTATTTTATTATTTTTGTGTGTGTGTACCGTCAAATCAGATCTGACTAGTCCAGGAGGAGATTGTCTCTCCTTCCCCAGCACAGCATCTGGTGGATTTGAACTGTGTGCCTCTGGGATTGCAGTGCAGCTTCTTGCCACTAGGCCACCAGAGCTCCCCTTTTTTTTCTCTCTTTTATTTATTCATTGTTGCACATTTTCTCCTTCCCTTCTTCCCCTCTCCCCTAGCCCATGCCGCAGTGCACTCCTTGTTCCAGACTGTTCTCATTCATATAATGCCTAATCATATATTCCTTTCAGACAGTTCTTCCCCTCATCTGTTGTTTTTTTACTAGCTTATTTATAAAATTCTAATATAAATTAGAACAAATTCTTTCAATTTCCCTC